CATCGTCGGAGCAATGAAAAAAGAGCTGGCAATGCACACTACGCGCATACATTGCCGAAGAACGACTCGGATTGGCAAAAACTCAAACGTCTTCATACGATTTTCAAATGAGGCACATAACGACACATGCAACAATGCTGTGGGGTGGTTGTGTCACGTTGCACATCGCTGCTCGCAAAGCCTGTGCATGCGCTGGAGCACTGGCCTGGGGGAAGAGCCGTCTTGCAAAGACTCGAACGATTGAGTCTGGAGGCACACACACATCTGTATACAAACTACGGTTTGTGGTGCGAACTCCGAGGCACTACTGCACAGGCTTCGAGTCGGGCCGATATGCTGGCATGAGTGGCAGGGGGAGTGAGGGGAAAGAGGACGAATAGAGGGGAGGAGAAGGGGAGGGGAGCGAGAACGGGGCAAGGGGCGAGCCAATCAGTACCAATCTAGATGCCGTTCCAGTCTGCATCTTCGATCTAAAATGCGTCTTCGACCAGAATGTGTTCGATGGTTTCTTGTGCTTCTGGTGTTGCTGTGACGTACTGCAACAAAAACTGTTGGCAATGTTGCGCATTGTCGACAGTCAAAGGGGCGGTTGGGGCGAAACCCTCCCTTTGAGCGCGCTGCCAAAGCGATGTCGCGAACTGGTCTGCCCACGTGGGCGCGCGGCCTGCCGACCCTTCTTGGTTCGTGTTTACGAGGCCTGAGCGACCCGGGTGGAAAAAAACAACACTACGGCAGGTTCGCGTCGTGTCGACCCCAGCGTTGGTTTCTGACACCGCTGGGATCGTTCAAACTTGAACGATCGGCCGCTGCCGCAACGTCCAATCGTTCAACATCGATCGATTCTGGGTCGCCGGCGGCGTTCAACCTTGAACGTCGGCGCTGGGGTCGCCGCTGGTCGACACGACGCGAACCTACCGTACGCATCATAGTGTCTGGCCCACCTGCAACCTTGGCGAACAAAGGTGTCGCGTCTTGTTTCATAGGTGCTGCTCAGGGGCATAACGGGCCCGGGGGAATGTGCCTGGTCGTCGCTCGCTGCGCGCCTTGCTTCCGTCGCTCGGCGGTACACTTCTTCATTGGTGTTATTTCGGTTGATAAACGTGGTGTCTAAGCGTAAGCTTTTCCGCAATCCTATTAAGTAAAATACATCGAGTCTCCGCTGCTGTGCTTGTGTCAATGCCGCGGATTCTAAACCATGCAGAACCTTCGAACATATAACGGCATCAAGTACTTCAAGCTTGAATTTGGGCGTGCAGTTGCTGTTCCGCAGGAGTGGGTGTAGCTTCCGAAGGGCAACCATCGAATCTCTGAGTTTATTGCTGATCTCCCTACGTGCATCCCCCAGAACGTTCATCATGCATCCTAAAACTTCGCCTCATGCGTCGTGGGAACGGGTGTTCCGTCTTCGAAATGCATGTCCGCAACAGCATTAATCTTGAGCACCTCGCACTTGTGCCTATTGAGCCGCATGCCGTATTTCAGACCCTCTTTTTCGATGGCTGCCAGAAACCTGTTCATGGATCGTGTGTCGTGAGAAATGCACATGGGGTCGTCCGCATACAGAATTTCGTCAAACTGTGCGCCATCTACTCTGTGTTTTATGAGCTGTGTCCGGATGCTTTGCTTCGCATCATGAATGAGAACGGTCATGAACATAACGAACAAATATGGCGAAAGTGGGCAGCCTTGCCTAATGCCAATCTCTTGCGTTTTGGATTCCGACTTTTGCCCGTCAACTTCAACAAATAATGCTGGGCGTGCATAGATTGCCTGGATGATGCGGAGCAATTTGGGGGGTGTCTTAAGCCGTTGGAGTGCGGAAAACATACCTGCTCGGGTAAAGTTGTCGAATGCTTTCTCCTAATCTAAGGACCAGTAGGAGCCTACGTGTCGTACTTTCTCCTGCTTCGATGACTCTCCTGGCTAAATGTATTGCGTGTTGGGTGCTGCGTTGCCTGCGGAAGCCGTAGTGTGTCTCGCCCCCCCAGTGGGAGTATTGAAACCAGCGCTTCGCCTGAGACATCCTCGGCAACTGCTCCGAAAGAGAAAGATGTTGGCACCCACACAAACAAACCGCCTGAAACATCCCGCCAATCTGGGCGCGAACGGGCTCGTGATATACCTCCTTGCGCCCCCCCTTGGGAGTACTGAAATCAACACCTCGCCTGAGACATCCTCGGAAACTCTTCCGAGAGAGAAGGATGTTGGCCACCCAAGCAAGCAAACCGCCTGAGACATCCCGCCAATCTGGGCGCGAACGCGCTCGTGCAATACCCCCTGGCGCCCCTCTCTTTGGGAGTACTGAAACCAGCGCCTCGCCTGAGACATCCTCACAACGTGCGTGTGAGTCTGAGCGCGGAAGTACCAGAAGCGTGAGTGAGTCTGCATATGAGTGATCCCGAGCATGAGAAGCCTGAGTATCAGGAACCTAAGAGCGAGTGCATCTGAGTATGAGTGAGTCTGAACATGAGTGAGTCTACATGTGACTGAATCAGGGAATGATGACCTGAAGATGGAGGTGTTCTCGTTCCGGGCGGTCTGAGTAGTAACAAGAAACCCATCCTCAGGACATGGGGACTAAATACCCGATCTGTTCACGTGATTTACCAGACAAATCTCCAGGATGTGCGCCCTCTGGGCCTCGCTGAACTATTGCCACCCAAGTCGCTGATGACCATCCACGCTGCGCAAGGGTTGACAAATAGGGCTGCCCATCGCCGCTCGGCTTTCATACAAACAGGTGAAATCGCCAATGAGCTTATCTCATCGTATTCTTGAACCCACTCGCCACCCTGTGTGTTTTAAAGCTGGTAAAGATCCCCGTGGACTACATTCGAGATGCTACAATAAGGAACGCTAGATAAGGAATGAAACCCCTCTCGGCACTATCACAGCCTGTGTGCACAAGGAGGGCTAGAGGAGCAACCACTGAATGACTTAAGGAACAACAAGCCCCTTCCGAACCCAAAGCGGTTCTTCATATCAGCCTCTTGACTGTACGAACTTGGGGACATTCTGATGTCCAGAGAACCTCCCGAACCACCAACACGCCAAGACGGCAACGACAAGTCCAGGACAACGCGATGACGCCCATCGTCAGAGTGGCTCTGGCCGGTGTGACGGCAGAAAACGCAACCCTTGGGCTCATGAATCGCATGTGGTACATTTGCTGGCATTCCGCAAACACCCTTTGCCAAACCACACGTTTCAATCTTGATAGAGCCACCATGCCCTATCAAGGTGGTCGTTCACGCCACAATTAAATCGACATGGCAGGGTACTTCGTATACCGAGCTGACATGCACTCAGACGACTTATGGAGGCTAAAAGATGGCCAAACTCGAAGAGAATCACGACACAACAATTTGACAGCGCAATTTGGAATCCGCAATCAGGGTATGCCACAGATGCGGTTCTTCACTTCTCTTCCTTCACTGTAGTTCCATTCCGACTAAGACTCGAACCTGAATGTCTACAATTCGAGTGCGCGGCAAACTGCCATACATTGCTTGAAAAGGGTTGCGGAACAGCCATCGCCGAACTTACGTTTCTGAAACAACGCACCCGCACATGTTTTTTGCTCTGCGACCCGCTCCAATTCGTGAGCAGGAACAAGACGCGGGAACTGTATTCCTCCCTCCTTTTTGCAACCTCCTGGTGCCAACATGCCCGAACCGCTGAACTATCCGACCTCAAACTGTATAACGCCAAATGCATTGACGTCTGCGTCTTTTCCAAACAACGCCCTCAAACAATGCAAATCTTATTCTCCATGGCAATGTGGCATGCGTCACGCAATGTATCCCGCACAACTTCATAGATGCGTCTCGTGCCTGCGGGGTAAGTGCCACACGATGTCGTCTGACAATGCTATCATTTCCGCTCCTAGCCAAACCGTGATGCTATTGCAGCTGGCACGCGGGTCAAAAGTAAACCTAAGTTTGGAAAGATATCCTTCAGCTTTTCGTGCATGTCTTATGCACCTTCAGTGCTCTTCGCTTGGGGCATTTCCATGAAGCCTCGTCGGCGAATGGGTATCGCGGCAACTTTCATATCCACTGGGGCAAGCCTAGTTTGCGCCGCGCCAGGTTAGCTTTCGTATGGGTTCGATGTGAATCGTGTTTCTTGTGTTCCCAACCATCCTGTGGTGTGGGGTTCTCGTCTTGAGGGGACGATGTCGCGTCTCCTTCCTTCCTCCTCCCCCTCCCCCTCCTCCCTCCTCCCAGCCCTGCCTCTGTCCTCCGCATGCCAGCCATTTCGGGGCGCCCCTCCCAGAGGCGACGTTCGCATGGGCCTCCCCCGCCCATTACAGCGTTTGGTGGCCCCATATGGAGATCAACCGATGGCCTGAGGCGACGTTCGCATGCGTCTCCCCCGCCCAGTACATGGAGGGCTCCGCCGAAGGCCCCAGCGGCGACGTTCGCATGCGTCTTCCATCCCCAGTATAGCGTTTCGTAACCCCAGCGAAGGCCCCAGAGGAGGAGGATGATGAGGAAGAAGAGGAGGGGGAAGGATGAGGAGGAGGAGGAGGAGAAGGAGGAGGACGAGGACGAGGAGGAGGAGGACGAGGAGGAGGAGGAGGAGGGCGCTCCACAAAAGACCCCAGTGGCCGCGGCCCCCCTACCCAGTACAACGCTTCGTGGTCCCGTGGGGAGATCCGCCGATGGCCCCATGGGCCGCGGCCGCAGGCGTCTCCCCCTGCCCATTGCAACGTTTCGTGGCCCCGTACGGCGGAGCTCCACCAAACGCTCCAGCGGCCGCGGCGGCATGCGTCTCCTCCACCCAATACAGCGTTTCGTGGCCCCTCGGGAGCTCCACCGAAGACCACAATGGCCGCGGCCGCATGCGTCTCCCTCCTATCGCGCACCCCTCACGTGCTTCGTGGCCTAAATCGGAGCTCCAACGAACCCGGTACCCACAACGCGGTACGCACAACTGCACATCTTTGGGTCCTTCGCCTAGATATTTTTTCAGGGGATGACTGTTATTACTTTACCTCTGTGCCATACAACGCCTCACCCCCCTGCTGCGTGCAAAGCCCCAATACCGATTCCGATCGGCAGCAGAAATACGGCACACATATGATCAATACCCTCAATGATATTTTCGGCATCGCGAGTTCGGATTCATTGACCACTTTGCGTGGAATGCGGCATCGAACGCGGGAATCTGCCTGGGGGCGTCTCGAGAGCTCCGTGCAGCCCGCTTGTGCGGCCTTTGGAAAAACGGAGGATACCCGGACCTCTGGCGCCCCCGACCCTCTTCCACTCTTTGGTCTTCTGTGGGGCCCGTTCGTCGGCGGCGAGCCCAAGGGGGAGAGTGAGAGGGGGGGGCCTTTCCGGAAGGCTCGGAAGGCTTCGGGCCTTCTGCGAAGCTGTCTGGGCCACTCTCTGAAGGCACAGAAAACTTCCCAGCAGGCCAGGGGGCCTCTGAGAAGCCCCGCCGCCTTCTGAGAAGGCCTTCTCCGTCCCACTTCCCCCCGGGCGCGCCGCCGAGTTTTCGAACACAGGCCAGCAACAGATGGGGTCGAGAGCTCCAGGTATTCCACGTCTTGAAAAGACCACGGCGCCAGAGGTCTGGGGAGAGGAGGGAAAAAGGGGTCGTACTGCCGAAGGGAAATGCAAAAGGGCGGTGTCGCGTCCAACATGAAAACCGAACGGCCTCGTTGGCACGTGTCGGCGGTCGGCGGGGGTCTGGCCCAACGCTCCGACATTCTATATACATAGTGTATGGCTCGCAGTAGTAATGCACAAAGACTCGCTAATAAAAAGCCCCCATGGTGGACACACATGCGTAAAACGCTGTTGCCTGGGTCGTGATCATGAACCCAGCGGCCATAATGAGCTCGTCGGTGAAAAAGGGGTGGCTGCTGTACCTTGGCTTGTAGTTTGCTAGGTCCTGCTGGGAGATGATCCCAGACTTGGCGTATGCCTCCGCCAAATCTACGTACACACCTCGTTCAATCAGAAGTCGATACCGCTTGCCTCCATCATTCTGCAAATCAGGCCAGCTCTGCCCAGGCACGTTCAGGCGCCAGAACCCTTGCCACCAGCTCTCGTTCTTCACTGGGAAGAACAGCCTGTGGTATCCGCCGCCGCGCCTCCCCGGCACGGAGCGGAGCGCCCCGAGGCCCATGCTGCTACAACCTGACTTATGAGTCTTCACGGGCCCCGACCAGCCACTTCCCAGGCCGTCTTCGGCCGCACAAAGGTTTCCCGGGCTGGCTCCCGTGATTTCTGGGGTGCTTCCCGAGGGTTCTCTGGACGCTGTGACCGCCCAAAACGGTCGAAGAGAGCACGACTCGCCGCAACATCGCTCAAAGACGTCAACGGCCTCGAGGTGCCAAGACGCCCCCAAACAGGCCTCCAAGAGCCCTCCAAAGAGCGCCCCAAGGTGCCACACTTATTGACTTCCCTGAGGTTTTCGAAGGATTCGGGCGTTCTCGCCTTTTCGGCTTCCCGACGCTCGCAGGGCCTGCAGGCGGCCCTGGAGGCCCGCAAGACCGCCCCAAGACGGCCAAAGAAGCCTCCAAGGGCGCCCCACGACTGCCCAAGAGAGCCCCAAGACAACCCAAGGGGCGCCCAGAACGGCCCAAGAGAGCCTCAAGACGGCCCCAACAGGGGCCCAAAAGAGGGAACACGAACCGAACATGCAAGCCTGCCGCCCCAAGAAGCTTCCAGGAGGTCCAAAGAAGCACCCAGGAAGCCCCAAGAGAACCCCAAGAGGCCCGCAAGAGGCCCCAGGAGGCTCCCCAAAGGCCCAAAAGAGGCCCCAAGAGGCCCACGAACGGCCCCCAAGAGATGTCCAAACCGCCTCCAAAGAGGCCCCCGAGGAGCTTCCCACGACATTCCAACGAACATGCCCACAACCCAAGCACGGTGGCGGGATGGACCAAAGGCCGGCAGATCCGCCACCCCCAGTTGGCTTGCCACAGGGGTGCCTGGCGTGAAAAATCCTGCCGCTCTTTTCCCAAAGAACTCCTCCTGAGGCTTCGGCCCGTCCCGCCGGCCACCCGGAAGGCCGCACAAGGGAACACAATGTTCGGAAACATTCTCCCAAGGCGGCTCGCGATGGCTTTGAAGATCGCAAAGTCGGCCCAGGATGGCCTCCAAGACGGCTACGATGGTCCCAAGATGCCTCCACGACGGCCAAATATGCATCCAAGACTGCCTCAGATAGTCTCAAGGTGGCCCAAGACGGTCCAAGAGGCTCCCAAGAGACCTCCAAGACGGCCCAAGAAACCTCCGAAGGAAGGCCCGAAGAGACCAACATCATTGTTTTTCCCTAAATCGTAACAAACAACTTTTGGCATTTGCTTCTCTTCGGCCTTCCGACGGCCCGAGACAGCCCAAGAGTCCCCAAAGATCGCCCCGGCCAAGAGGCCTCCAAGAAGGCTCCAGAACGGCCCTAGATGCCCCAAGACGGCCCCAAGAGGGCTCCGAGACGCCCCAGACGTCTTTCAAGACGGCCCTGGAGTACACCAAGAGAGCCAAGTCGGCCGAGAGAGGCCCTCAAGACGGCTTCCGAGGGCGTCAGACGGGCCAGGAGGCCACCAAGACTGCCCAAGGTGGCTTGAAGTTGGCCCCGCACGAGGCCTCCAAGAGGTCTCCAAGACGGCCCAAGAGGCCTCCAAGAGGTCCTCCAGGCAGGCCCGAAGAGGCCAACATCATTGGTGTTCCTAAGGTTGTTGAAGGATTTTGGCATTTGCTTCTCTGCGGCCTTCCGACGGCCTGAGACGGCCCATGAGCCCCCAAAGGTCGCCCCAAGATCGCCCAAGAGGCCTCCAAGAAGGCCCCAGAACGGCCCAAGAGGCCCCCACAACGGCCCCAAGAGAGCTCCAAGACAGCCCAAAAGGCCTCCAAGATGGCCTCCACAACGGCCCTGGAGCACCCCAAGAGGGCCCCAATCGGCCCAGGGATGCCCTCAAGACGGCTTCCGAGGGCGTCAGATGGGCCAGGAAGCCACCAAGACTGCCTAAGGTGGCTTGAAGGTGTCCCAAGACGGCCCAAGAGGCCCCCAAGAGGTCCCCAGACAGCCCAAGAGGCCTCCAAGAGGTCTTCCAGGAAGGCCCGAAGAGGCCAACATCACTGATTTCCGTAAGGTTGTTGAAGGATTTTGGCATTTGCTTCTCTGCGGCCTTCCGGATGGCCCGAGACGGTCGACTAGCCCCCAAAGGTCGCCCCAAGATCGCCCAAGAGGCACCCAAGACGGCCCCAAGAGGGCTCCAAGATGGCCCAAGAGGCCTCCAAGGCGCCCAAGATGACCTCCAAGACGGCCCTGGAGCACCCCAAGAGGGCATATTTGCCTCTTTTGCCTCTTTTCGATCTTCCGACGGCCCGAGACGGCCCAAGAGCCCCCACAGATCGCCCCAATATCGCTCACGAAGCCTTCCAAGATGGCTCGAGAATGGCCCAAGAGGCTCCGAAGACGGCCCCACGAGGGCCCCCCCAGACGGCCCAAGAGGCATCGAAGACGCCCAAGTTGGCCTCCAAGATGGCCCTGGAACAGCCCAAGACGGCCCCAAGGCGGCCCCAAACGACCCCCAAGACGGCTTCCGACAGCGTCAGGCGGGCCAGGAATGCCCTAAGACGGCCAAATGCCCCCGAGAAACCTCCAAAGGCCTTCAAGAGGCCCAAGGAGGCCCCCAAGATACATCCGAAGGCTCCCAGGAAGCTCCAAGGAGGCCCCAAGAGTGCCCCGAGAGGCTCCTAAGATGCCCCCTCCTCCTTCTCCTCTTCCTCCTCCTCCTGATCTTCCCCGCCATCCTCCCCCAAGTGTTCCCCGAAAGGTTTCTACAAGGGCTGGGGGAGCACATGGCCCGATAGCTTGGCAGAGCTTTTGCCACAACGCTCGGCCACATTGGCGATTCCAAAAGGCAAAATGCGGCGGTGATTCGCCGTAAGCGTCTTCGATAATACCGCTATCGCGTCAGACATGATTGACACGAGGATGAACAACGGGAATGCGACCCAATAGAGGGGATGTTTAGCCCACTGTTTCTCTGTCACGAACAGGCACCACAAGCCAAGGACGAGGAAAAACGGCAAGACGGTGTACTGAACGTAGAAGCAAGTCCGATTGAACACATCTCGTTCTGGGAATATGATTGCTTCGACTCGCCCAAGGGTGACTTTCTGGAGAAGGCGCTTACCAATGACCCATCTCTTCCACGAGTCCCCGATAAAGTTGGCCACGCATGCTACACACATCTGCTGCGTGCCAACACCTGTGTCCTCGACATTTGCGGAGCGAATCAGAGCACAGAACCTGAATACTTCGGTAGTTGAGGCCATGATGCATATGAACGTTGACATTGCTACCTGGGGCAAACCAGTGGTGTCAGTGCAGCGCGTAATGAGCCGTACCGAAGCAAAGCCGATTGTTGCGTACGCGACGCTGAGAATCGGCAGGGACAGGCCTTGCGCCAACTCGCTGAATGCGAACAGCTTGTCAATCTCGTCCACGGCGTAGATCACTGCGAATATCATCCCCAGCTGGAAGAAACATGTCCACGAAGCAAACGCAACAAGGAACCAACGTCTTTGTACGAACGGGAGTACCGTAACAACCCAAATCAATACACTGATTGCGCTTCCAACAGTGACTCCGCCAAGCAGAAATGATTGGACCGGCCCGCAGACAAGTCCACACAGTATCACACCGTAGGGGATACTCCATTTGGGTGCTCCTGCCATTATGGCAAATCCTGGAGCGATCATCGCAAATGCCATGTTTGAGATGCTGCTGAATATCGGTTGCAGATCCTCAGGAGCACCCGGAAGCGCAGTGTGGCCCATGTAAAGTACCATCGTCACGAGATTGATCACGAGGTGCGCTGGATGAAAGAACCATTTGGGGGACATGATCGCATATTCTTTGTGGTCTGCTGTAGCCACGTCAAAGATCTGCCACCGTGCCTCTGGGCACGGAGTGGGCGCGCCCTCAGGTCCTTTCCCCCCTTCTCTGAGCCTGAATCCTCACTCCTGGGGGGTTTCATGCAAGGGGCCCAGACCCCACATTGCCAAATCTCTCGGGGCTTGGCGCCACTCCCCGCAGCTTCTCGCGTGGGACCCAAGAGGGCCCGAAAACAGGCCAAGAGAGCTCCCAGGAGGCCCCCAAGACGGTCCAGGAGGGCTCCGGGTCGCCGAACGATCGTTCCAAGGCGCCCAAGACAACTCCAAGACGGTCCAAGAGGCCTTCGAAACGCCCCAAGAGGCCTCCCCAGTGGGCCCCAAGGGGCAAGTCTAAGCGATTTTCGCTGAAGCTTTCATTGAAGGAATTTGGCGTTCTCGCCTTTTCGGCTTTCCAAGACGGCCCAAGAGGCCCCCAAGACGGCGCAAGTGGCCTCCAAGAGGTCTCCAAGACGGCCTGAGAGCGCCCCAAGACGGCCCATGAGGCGCCCAAGACGGCCCAAGAGGGCCCCAAGACGGCCCCACAAAGGGGCCCAAGAGAGGGAACGCGGCGAACTGTAAATCCGAGCCTTCCGCCCCAAGAGGGCCCCAGCAGGCCCCAATAGACAACCAGGAGGCGGCCCCCCCACGAGATCCCAACGACCATCCAATAGGCCTCACACCCACAACCCAGGCACGGTGGCGGCATGGGCCGAAGGCCATTCGATCTGCCGCCCCCTGTCGAACAAGGGTGCCTGGCATGCTGGGTCCTTTCGGTTTTGGTTTTGATTCTTTTCCAAAAGAACCCCCCCCCTGGGGCTCCGGCGCGTCCCGCCGGCCACCCGGAAAAACCCCATTCCGGAAAAAATCCTCCAAGATGGCTCAAGATGGCGCCAAGATGGCCACGTTGGCCCAAGATGGCCTCCAAGTTCGCCCAAGATGGTCCAAGACGGCCTCCAAGACGGCCCAAGAGAGTCCAAGATACCTCCAAGTTCGCCCAAGAAGCCTCCAAGACGACCCAAGACGACCCAAGGGGCCTCCAAGAGAAGGAGGGCCCGAAGAGGCCAAAATCATTGATTATCCTCAGGGTTTGAAAGATTTTGGCACTTGCTTCTTTTCGGCCTTCCGACGGCTCAAGACGGCCCAAGAGGCCCCCAAGATCGCCCACGAAGCTTCCAGGCTGGCGCCATGACGGCCCAAGAGGCCCCCAATACGGCCCCAAGAGGGCCCCAAGACGGGCCAAGAGGCCTCCAAGACGCCCAAGATGGCCTCCAAGACGGCCCCGAAGCGCCCCAAGAGGGCCCCAAGCCGGTTCAGAGAGGCCCCCAAGACGGCTCCCGACGGCGTCAGACGGGCCAGGAACCCACTAAGATGGCCGAAGTTGGCTCGAAGCTGGTCCAAGACGGCCTAGAGGCCTCCAAGAGGGCCTCCAGGAAGGCCCGAAAAGGCCAAAATCATTGATTTCCCTTGGGTTTTGAAGGATTGTGGCACATGCTTTTTTGTCGGCTTTCCGACGGCCCGAGACGGCCCAAGAGCCCCCAAAGATCGCCCAAGAGGCCTCCAAGATGGCCCCAGAACGGCCCAAGAGGCCCCCAAGACTGTCCCAAGAGGCCCCCAAGACGGCCCTGGAGGCCTTTAAGACGCCCAAGATGGCCTGCAAGACGGTTCCGAAGCGCCCCAAGGGGCCCCCAAACAGGTTCAGAGAGGCTCCCAAACGACTTCCGACGGCGACAGACGGGCCAGGAGCCCACCAAGACGGCCGAAGATGGCCATAAGATGGCCCAAGACGGCCTAGAGGCCTCCAAGAGGGCCTCCAGGAAGGCCCGAAAAGGCCAAAATCATTGATTCACCATGAGTTTTTGAAGGATTGTGGCATTTGCTTTTTTGTCGGCCTTCCGACGGCCCGAGACGGCCCAAGTGCCCCCAAAGATCGCTCAAGAGGGCCAAGACGGCCCCAAGAGGCCCCCAAGACGGCCCGAGAGGTCTCCAAGACGCTCAAGATGGCCTCCAAGACGGCCCAAGAGCCCTCCAAGACGTCCTCCAAGAAGGGCCGAAGGGTCAAAATGGCCTCCAGACGGCCAAGATGACCTTCAAGATGCCCACGTGTTCCCCGAAGGCTATCCAAACCGATTCGGGGCACACATGGTCCGATAGCTTGGCAGGTCTGGCCTCAACGTTCGGCCACATAAGCGCTTCCAAAAAGGCAGGGGACGGCGGTGATTCGCCGTAGGCGTTTTCGATCCGCCGCCCCCTGTGGTCTTGCCACAAGGGTGCCTGGTATGCTGAACCCTGCCGCTTTTGGTTTACGATTCTCTTCCCCCCAAAAACTCCTCCGGGGGCTTCGGCCCGTCCCGCAGGCCACCCGCGAGGCTCTGGGGGGGTGGCTCCCAAGGTTTTTCCGGCTCCAGGTGGCTCCGAGATGGCCTCCGAGACGGACAAGGTGGCCAAAGATGGCCTCCAAGACAGCCCGAGAGGGTCGCAGATGCCTCCAGGTCCGCCCAAGAAGCCTCCACGATGGGCCGCGACGGCCCAGGAGGCCCACAAGACACCTCCCAAGATGTCTTCCAGGAGGGCCCGACGAGGCTAAAATCATATCATTGGTGTTCCTTAGGTTTTGAAGGATTTTGGTATTTGCTTCTTTTCCGCCTTCCGATGGCTCTAGGCAGCCCAGGAGCCCCCCCAAGCTCGCCCCAAAATCGCCCAAGAAGCTTCAAAGATGACCGCACGACGGCCCAAGAGGCCCCCAAGACGCCTAAGATGGTCTCCAAGACGGCCATGAAGCAGCCCAAGAGGGCCCCCAGTCGGTTCAGAGAGGCCCCCAAGGCGGCTTCCGACGAAGTCAGACAAGCCAGGAACGCCCTAAGACGGCCAAATAATCCCAAGAAACCCAAATGCCAGCAAGAGGCCCAAGGAGCCGCAAGATGCCTCCAAGAGGCCCCCAGGACGCTCCCAGGAGGTCTCAAGGTGCCCCAAAGGCTCCCAAGAGCCCTCCTCCTCCCTCCTGATATTCCCCGTCTTCCTTCCTGAAGTGTTCCCCGAATAGTCTCCAGAGCGGCAACGAAAATCTCCAAGACGGCTCAAGGTAGCCTCCAAGAGGGCAAGACTGCTTTCAAGTTCACCCAAGAAGGTCCAAGATGGCCTCCAGGACGGCCCAAGAAGGTCCAAGATGCCTTCAAGTCCGCCCAGGAAGCCTCCATGACGGCCCAAACTCTGGATCCAAACGTTTGGCCACAGAGGCGCTTTTTAAGAAGGCTTGGGTCGGCGGTGATTCGTCGTAGGCGTCTTCGATAGGGTAATCTTTGACTTCTTTGTGATCGGTGATTCGGACAACGCGTGATGGTCTTGACATGTGAGACGTTTTTGGTTCACGCTGGACTTCATCCATTTGGCCTTCACGCTGGACTTTATCCATGTGCCCTTCGTTCTGTGGCGACTCCATGACAACCTCGAGCTGCCCAGTCTCTGCCGACGGAACTTCCTCCGCCTTAGTTTGCTTCTCTGCGGCTTTCACCTCGCAATTGCCGCAATTGCCCATCGTCGAACTGTGTACGGCTCGTGTAAATCCGCCTCCATGCCGCGAGGCATTGTGTGGTGTGTCCTCAGGTCCCGAGCGTTCCAACATGGAACGTGGAACATTCTTCCACTAGGGGGCCCAGAGCCCCAATGGATTCCCCGGGGCTCCCTCCCTGGGCAACTTCTCCGTAGAGGCCAAGGAGCGCCAAGACGGCCACAGAGGGCCACACATCCCTCCCAATCGGTCCAAAACGGCACCGAAGCTGACCAAGAGGGCGCTAATACGCCCTCAAGATGGACGAATGTTATCACTCGTGCCTCGATCTGGCCGTCACCTGGGCTGGTACGGAAACGGAAAGAGCGCCTCAGAAACTTGCCCGAGACGGCTCATGGCACCCTTCGCTCTTGGGAACCTTGGTGTGAAGAGCTTGCTACGTCGCCGCTCTCCGTTGGGAGCTCTGGTGTTCAGGGACTCTTACGTTGCCGCTCGCTATTGGAAGCCTTGGTGTGACGAGCTCTTTACGTCACCGCGCTCTGGGGAGCCGTGGTGTCAAGAGCTGGTTGCGTCATCGCTCGCTGGTGGGAGCCATGGTGTTCTTGAGCGTCTCTTGGGCCTCGTCAGGGTCTTCTTGGGGCCCTTGTGGAGCCCTTCGGGAGCCCTTTTGGAGCAATTTTGGTCCGTCTTGGGCCTTCTTGGAGGACTTTTGCCGTTTTGGGGCTCCTTTGGGGCCTCTTGGGGCCCTCTTGGGAGCCTCTTTGGGCCCTCTTGGGGCTCTCTTGGGGCCGTCTTGGGGCCCTCTTGGGCCGTCTTCGGGCCCTCTCGGGTCTGTTTGTTGGCCCCTCTGGGGCCGTCTTGGGGCCCTCTTGGACCGTTTTCGGGTCCTTTCGGGCGCCTCTTGGGCCGTCTTGGGGATCTTTGGAGCCTCTTTGGCCGTCTTGGACTGTTCTTGACCCGAGAAGGCAAGAACCCAACAGACCTGCGAAAACCTTAGAACAATCAATGTTTTTGCCCCTGGGGGCCTTCTCGGGGGCGAGGGCGGCTCTGGAGCCGTCTTGAGGCTCTCTTGGACCGTCTGGAGGCCATCTGAAGCTCTCTTGGGACCGTCTTGGTGCCCTCTTGGTCCGTCCTGAGGCCCTCTTGGAGCCCTTAGGCCGCGTCACTCAAACAAAATACGAGGAAACGGGCCATGGGAGCCGCCCGGGAGCCGCTTCACTCGAACACATGAGGAAAGCTGGCTATTATATCCGATCCCAGCGGGCCTCGCCCCTCCCCTTGACCCCTCTCTAGAAAGCTTCGCTGTACGTGAACGTCATCACTTGTACCTCGCTCTTTCTGTTACCTGGGCCGGCACGGGAACGAAAGAGCGCTGCAGGAACTTGCCCGAGATGACGCATGGCACCCTTCGCTCTTGGGAGCTCTGACGGTATGAGCTTGTTGCGTCACCGCTCTCTGTTGGGAGCCCTGGTGTTCACAGACTTTTACGTTGCAGCTCTCTCTTGGATGCCTTGCTGTTCAGAGCTGTTTACGTCACCGCTCTCTGGGGAGCCTCGGTGTTCTGAGCTTCTTATGTCACCGCTCGCTGTTGGGAGCCATGATGTTACTTGGCGTCTCTGGGGCTTCCTGGGAATCTTGTGGTAGCCCTTTTGGGCCGTTTTGGTACTCTTGGGCCGTCTTGGGGCCAGCTCAATCCCCGCGCCCAAGCAGCCCAGTCCCCATACCGCTTCTTCGGGCTCTCTTGGGAGCCTCTTGGGGCTCTCTTGGGGCCATCTGGCGCTGTTTTGGGGCCCTCTTGGACCGTCTGGTGGCCCTTTTTGATGGTTTTCGGCCCCTGTGGGTGGCCTCTGGGGCCGTCTTGGGACAATATTTGGGGCCTCTTGGGCCCGTCTGAGGGCTCTCTTGGACCGTTTTCGGCCCCTTTTGGGGGGCCTCTGGGCCCGTCTTGGGACGAGCTTTGGGACCTCATGGGCCGTGTTGGGCCCGTCGGGGCCCAAAAAGGAACGAACCCGAAAAACCTTCAAAACCCTTTGGGAAATCCATTTTTTGGGCCTCCTCAGGCCCTCTGGGGGGCCCTCTTAAGGGCCTCTGGAGCCGTCTTGGACCGTCTGGAGGCCATCTGAAGCTCTCTTGGGGCCGTCTTGGAGTCCTCTGGGGCCGCTTTGGGGCCCTCTTGCCGCTTCAAGTTTAAACCATACAAGGAAACAGGCCGTGGGAGCCGCCCGGGAGCCGCTTCACTTAAAAAATACACACGCAACGGCCACCGGGCGGCCATTACATTCAATCCTTGCCCCCCTCGCCCCTCCCTAGAAGGCTTCTCCACAACTCAACGTGCATCGCTCGTACCTCACTTTGCCGTCACTTGGGCCGGCACGGAAACGGAAAGAGCGCTTCAGGAACTTGCACGAGATGGCTAATGGCACCCTTCGCTCTTGGGAGCCCTGGCGTTAAGAGCTTGCTACGTCACCGACTCTCTGTTGGGAGCCCTGGTGTTCAGAGACTTTTTCGCTGCCGCTCGCTCTTGGGAGCCTTGGTATTCAGAGCTTTCTACGTCACCGCGCTCTGGGGAGCCTTGGTGTTAAGAGATTGTTACGTCACCGCTCGCTGTTGGGAGCCATGGTGTCACTTGGCGTCTCTGGGGCTTCTTGGTTCTTTTTGGAAACCTTTGGGTGCCATTTGGGCCGTCTTGGAGACCTTTGGCAATCTTGGGGCCCGCTTGCGATCCTCTTTGGGCCCGCTTGGGATCCTCTTTGGGCCCTCTTGGGCCGTTGTGGGGCCCTCTTGGGTCGCCTTGGGGTTCTCTTGGACCGTTTTCGGGCCCTTTGGGGGGACTCCTGGAGTTTAATTGGAGCCTCTTGGGCCGTTTTGGGCATTTCTTGGTCCGAACCCGAAAAAGGATCCAAAGCTCACAGAAAAATCAATGAATGTTGCTCCGTGGGCTCTCTTGGGACGCCTCTGGCAGGCCTCTTCTTGCGTCTTGGGGCCCTTGTGGATAGCCTTTAGGCCATCTTAGGCCACCTTAGGCCATCTTGGAACGGTCGTGGGGTCTCCTGGAGCGCTGTTGGGCCGTCTTGGAGCCGCCTTGGAGCTCTCCTGGGTCGTCTTGGGGGTTTCTTGGGCCGTCCTGGACGCCTCTAGGGCAGTCTCGGGGGCCTCTTTTGGGGGGGTGAGGACCTTTAGACCTATGTCCCCGCTCCTCCCCCCTCCCCTGGACCCCTCCTTAGAGGGCTTCGCCCCAACTCAACGTCATCACTCGTACCTCGCTATTTCCGTCACCTGCTTGGCACTGTGAGGGCACGAGGTCGCTGGCTTGGTGACTTGGAGGCCTGCTGGTGTGGAGGTGTGGGTGCGACATACAGACATCCAGCAAAAACCGTGCGACAATCAATGGATCTTGCATTTCCGGGCATTCCTGGGGGTCCTTTTGGGGCTCCTTTGGGTCGTCTTGGGGCCCTCTTGGGCGGTCCTTAGGCCCTCTTGGGCCGTCTTGGGGGCCTTGGGCCGTCTTGGGACCCTCTCGGGGCCCTCTTGAGGACCTCCTGTGGCCCTCTCGGGGTTCCCATGGGGACCCTCACGGGCCCCTCTTAACCGCGTCTCGCGGACACCCCGAGATGGCCCCCTGACGGCCCCAGAGGCCCCCAAGGCGGCCCCAAGGGGGTCCCAAGACCAGAAGTCCACCACGTTCCCCAAGATGGTCTCCAAGACGGCCCTGAAGCGCCCCAAGAGGGCCCCAAGTCGGCCCAGAGAGGCCCGCAAGACGGCTTCCGACGGCGTCAGGCGGGCCAGGAACGCCTCCAGACGGCCAAAGAGCCTACCAAGCCTCCAAAGGCCTCTGAGAGGCCCAAGGAAGCCTCCAAGAGGCCTCCGAGAGGCCCCCAGGAAGCTCCCATGAGGCCACAAGAGTGCCCCAAGAGGCTCCCAAGAGGCCTCCTCCTCCTCCTCCTCCTCCTTTTTCCTCTCTGTTCTTTCTCTCCACGTGTTCTCCGAAAGGTTGTAGTCCGATAGCTTGGCCGAGCTCTGGCCGTAACGTTCGGCCACATCAATTCCTTCAAAAGGCAAGGGGCGGCGGTGATTCGCCGTAGGCGTCTTCGGTAAGATTGCGTTGGTAGGCTGGACGAGGGGCGTGTGGCTTGAACCCTTCGCCTATGGAGGGTGCACAATACTCAAAACAACAAACAACCTTCTTCAATACCGTGTTGTCCCCCCGCTTATTCGCTGTTCGCCCCCATATCTGAAAGTGTTGAATGAAGTGGTAAATGCATGGGTCAACCACGAACCAGCATAGTTGCTACGCATTTCCCTCCCTTGTGTGTGCGTGTGGGCAGACCCCATCCAAACCCTTCTTAGGCCCTCTTTACCCCACCCAGCGTGCCGGTCACGACGAAGAAGGACAACAACTTTCTGCCTCCCACTGTTGCATCAATACTTTCCCCAATCAGGGCTTGCCATGAACGGTTGTTGCTGGTGGACGCTGGATCACTTGACATGTGTGCGCCGCCGATTCCCGCCGGCGGTCGGGGTCCAAAAATCGTATGTCCCTGTCTGCCGCCGATTGTGGCGGGCGCACGGATCCCTGGGCTCCCGTTTTCTGGTGCCGCTGTTCTAGACTCCCTCTCTCCCTCCCTACCTCTCCGACTCCAGAATTCTCTCCACTCCATTTGCGGGTCCCCGACTCCAGAATTCTCTCTCTCTCTCTCTCTCTCTTTCTCCCTCCTTGTCTCTGTATCGCTCAATCTCTACCGGATGAATCCCTACACACCCGCCTTCGCGTGGGAAAATTTCACCCACTCGGCCCCCCTGGACTCGTCGCGCGGGGACGCTGGGTCCACAACCGTGTCTCCCGACCATCGCTTCCGGGAGGAGCCGAGCGAATCCCGAACCACAAAGCTCCCGGGGGAGGTCCTCGCCAAATCTGTCCCCGGACACGACGGGGAACGGCAGAAGGAGACAGGCTCAGGAGGGGACACCTCGACCTGGAAGAGGCGATGTATCGCTAGAAGATCGGCGACAAGCCCGTGATTGCCAATCCGCACGTTTCTGAAGGGGCCCTGGGACACACAAATAAATCCACACAAATAACAATATTCCCCACGTTTTCTAATATTTTCAAGTTTTTTTGTCTTCCCCCCGACTTCCAATTTTGTTCAATATTTTTCCTGGGAATCGACGGTTCATTGTGTCTGTGTGTTTTCCCCTCCCGACTTGAGGCTGGTGTACATAACGCGCCGCTGACGGCACCACCACCACAACATTTTGCTTCTTCCGGTTCTTCGCCACCGGGTTCCTGTACAAGGCCTTCCTTTGCATGCACATCGCCTTCGGCGCCGCCTGATTCCAAGGCCTTGCCCTCTCGTGGCCTCGACGTGAGGCCCCCCCTTCTGCCTTCCCCCCTCTGTCAATCAAAGCTGTGCGCGGCCCGCTTAGCTTCGACCGGAAGAGGCTCGCTCTCGACCCGCGGATCAAAAACATTTTCCCCTCCCGAGCTTCGGGATGGGCTGGGCCATCGGGCCCCTATCAGCGATGAGTGGGCGACGTGGGGCCGATGCGCTCCCCTTGAGCCGCTGCCCCCCAGAGCTGCCCCTGCGAGAATCGGACCACTCCCGGCGCACCCCGCGCCCGCTGGGCCGAGCGAACCATACAAAAAACACCCGATTTCCAGTGGTACATGGCAATGTTTAATACATAGGATTTTTCAAACTGTAGGATTTTTAATACATGCTAGTTTATAAATACAGTTATGCATGAATTCATCGTTGTTTGTAGTACTATATCCCTGCATTTTGAACACATGATCCGCACGCGGAGCATGCATTAAAAACGGTACTGTAGGTCCTCGCCGAAGTTGGGCAGACAGAGAAGCATGCACGTACACCGATCCTGGCCAGGCCCAGCCTGAGGCCAGGGTCGGTGTGATGTGCACCGATCCTGGGCTCAGGATGGGCCTGACCAGGATCGGTGTATATGCATTGTTATCCTCTTCGCCAGAAGAATCCCCTCCCCAAACACCTGGCGCCAAGGAAGCGGGGCCTGCGCTTCCTGGCGCCGTTTCCAGGGGAGGGCCAAACGAATTACTCCAAAGTGGCGGTTCCGCAGGGTCCTCGCCAGATCGGCCACTGGACTCCCGGCGCCCAGGGAAGCGAGGGCCCCGGCGCCCAGGGAAGCGAGGGCCCAGATCGTGGGAGGCGATGGGGAGGTCGAGCATGATGTAGCATGATGGCTTCCCATCTCGGGACGGACGAAAGGGGGCGGGTTAGCGAATCAGCTCAACCTGGCGTTTCCAGCTGCATGCAACAATTTTCGCACACCTCCTTTCTCCTAAGTATCCGCTTCTTTCGTCCGACCCGAGAGATGTTCAAGGTCGAACATGACGGCTTCCCTTCGGGAGCATTATCTTTCGGAATACTCATGCATGCAGCCTGGTGGAAAGCTTGTCCCTGTATATCTGCGACGGGGAACGGTGGCCAAGTCGTATTTGTCCTACTTTGGACGAAAACTTAGAAACTCCAACCCGTCATCCACATCAAGACCACCACCATCATACTTGTCCTCATCGTTTCGGTTCGCCTTAAAGAACGCCCTGGGCGTCTTTTTAGCGTTTTCTA